ATTTAATATCTGTTTGTACGTTGTCTCCCACCTAGCTGGGCTTCTCTAATGGATGTTTCTGATGCACACAAAGCATCCTCTTCAATCATCATTAGACTTGACCCGGAAAAGAAGCTGCCACATGTTTATGTATGTGTATGATCAGTCAGGCCCAAAACACTTAAAAATGTGTTGAATCACTGGTGTATGTTCCCAAATGGTGATTATTTCCAATTAGAATTCACTTTGCACCCACGGGGAGTGCCCTTTTTTACTCAAAACAGCCAATGCTTTCTCAAATGGATAAAACACCTTCTACTGCCTACCTGGTGTTGTTACACCCCCACCACTGCCACTACATCTTACCCAGGACAGGATGTTCCAGAGCCAAATGACAATGTCAGAGGACTTGCAGCCAACTTTAGGAGGGAGGAGGTTTGAATACACAGAAACCGACTTCAGCTCTCTGAAAGTCGTAAAGCCACCGAATGAAAAGAATGGATTAAGAGAAGTTAGAGGGTTGGTGTTAGTCAGCTTCTGTGATGTGTACGTGTTGTTTACTTACAGAAGGACGTATCTGTCTTTGATAGGATTAGACGAGCTAAATAAAGAAAAATATGAGAACACGTTGAATGTATGATATGTCATTTAGGGGTCTCTCAATCTAAATAACAACATAAGGCCGAGTTATGTGACGTTTCCAGTCCCTCCTGATTATAGCAGAGGTTTCCCTTTCCCCCAAACGAGTGGACATGTTGAATACATTTAGTAAAACGCATTTGAAAGTTTCAATTGAAAAATTTGTGTTTTTTAAAGCAAGGAAAATGCTTCTGTTAGCTTGGCTTGTTTTTCTGATCCAAATGTTAAGGCGGATTTTACGTGAAGACGAATGATCCATATACAGTACAGTAGTTCTTCTGCTACTTACTCTGTGATTAAAACTAAGGAAAACACTGAGTTGAGAATCCCCCCCCCAAAAAAACACTGTTCATCTGTCACCACATTTCATCTGCTTGTTTTCCTGATAACTCAAAATCCAGACGTCAGATGACATAAAAACTTTCATCTTGTTCAAATATATTTTTGGAAAATGGCCAAGATCTAAAAAGTTGATCATAAAAATGTGTGAAATGGAAAAAAAGTCAATGTTTGACTTGCAGAAACCACAATGCTCAAAGAGGCCAATAAAAGGAACCAAATGAGACAAACCTTTACCTTGATTCAAAATGACAATAGCACACTCACAGATTCTCTGTTTTGAAAACGGTTGGAATCATTTGGTATAAGTACACAACTCAATAAAATATATAACATATTTCTAGTTTTGGGATTTTTTTATGTAGAAATGTATACAGAATGTATGTGTATAAAATATATGTTATATGTTGAAACAAACAGAAAAGGGAGGCTGTGGCGCAGTGGACTAGTGCGTTGGTGTTCAGATCAGGGGAGCACAGGTTCAAACCCCACTGCAGTCAGCCTGTCGTTGTGTCCCTGGGCAAGACACTTCACCCCAAATTGCTCCTGTGGGGATTGCCCACAGTATTGAGTATGTAAGTCGCTTTGGATAAAAGCGTCTAACAAGTGACATGTAATGTAAAAAAGCTCTGCCCTTACTATCTCGAATTTTCAGCCATTGCAGATACGTTCTTAGTGGACCAAAACTGACAAAAGCGGACGAAGCAATTCTGGATGTAACTTTTCCATCCTGGTACAACACAAAAATAATTTGTTATCCATCTTTGTTTCCTAGGCAAGCAGCGGCCAAGTTCTAGCCCTTTAATTAAAAAATAAGTTCAAATGGCTGCAGTCTCAATGGGGCGGAATCCATCCTATAATATGCTGTAAAACCATTGCAAAGGCCATTATGTACGTGTCAAGCTGTTTTATGTGGGAGACAGATGAGCTGTCTGCAGAATCAGACCTTGGTGATGTAACTGTCACCGATCCTGCTGAAATAATGAGACTCAAACTTAAAACCCTTATGGGAAAAAAAGTTTTGGCTTCTGAAATGTACCTGTTAGACACGCAATGTACTGATCAAAACATCTCGTTGTTTGATTAATAACTAAGAGCAAACTGTTACAACTTTGGGCACCAATTGAATTGTAATAATAGAAAGCAATCGGCGTCGCCTCTACACCATTGGCAAACAAAGTGTGCCGATCCTGTGTTCAGACTTCACCATACCCTCCACTGGAGTGCAGAGTCTTTAAATTGCCCACTAAGGTCAGCTGTAAAGATCAAATGGCTTTACAGCATGGTGGCAGGTTTCTGGATCAGCCTCTAAAACAGCTAATTGTACATCTGAGTTTAATTTTGGCATTTAAGACTTGCGTGTCCATAATATCAATTATCAGGAGGTGTTTATTTTGTTCTCTCAAGCTTATAGTCCAAACTTGAAATTCTAAGTAAAGACCGGTGGCCTTTTACACCCAAGTGCATGTCAGCTGCACTGGATCAACATAGTGTGACAGGGCTGAATGTTCTCACGGCACCCACTCCCTGTTTGACTGACAGGCCGGACTCTTACTCATACCAACACACCCTGCTGAATCCACATAGACAAACTTAATCTTAGTCTCTGTAGTCGAACTACTGCATTTGATATCAGCTCTCTGCCAAATCTAATATTGTCTTTTCCAAAACTGTTTACTACTAACTTTTATGAGGGAACTGCGTGCTTAACAAGTATACAGAATAAGCATGCCTCCTTTCTTAATGAATCTTATTATTACACACAAAGATTATACATGACAGCAGGGGCGGACTGGGACTACAAATCAGCCCGGGACTCTCGACCGGCCCACTTCGGTACCGCCGGCCCACCTCGGTAAAATACTAACGGGGGGGGGGGGGGGGTGCTAGTGACTTATCCGACCGGCCCACATCGTCCGACCGGCCCGCTTCAGTGCCGGCCCAGGGCCAGTCCGCCCCTGCATGGCAGACTAGTACCCTCAATTGATAGAGACCGACAATCCGCTAACATGACACCTAACACATCTGAGCCAGTGTGATCGCCCAATGGTAAGATCACAGCTTTAAAACTCAACAGCAACAATTATTCTCCCATTTCTACAAATAAAATGAGTAAAAAGTTAGCTTAATGTTTACGAAAATCGCTCAACGTCACTTCAATACGTCAAGATAGAAGCAGGAAAACTACCTATTCAAGAACAAGTTTGGCCATGTTTGTTTTTAGCTAAAAGCTAACAAGTGTAGGGAAATGTCCCCCGATAATTTGCAAATTGAAGTTTTTCTGAGCATTATTTAATTGTTACGACATTGCAACTTTAATTTTTAGGTTGAGTCTATCGGCACTCATCAACATTGTTTTTAGCTGCAGCATGCATCCCCTGCTAACTGCACAACACCAAATGGGCGACAGTTATGTGTGATTGCTGTGCTAATGTGCCTGGTGTCCAAAGCTAACAATGTGGCTATTTACACCTGGGTGTAAATAGGATGGCAAAAACCAACAAATCTATTTGCACATACGTTACTATCTGCTGTAAATGTTTCCCTTAAAGTAGCTTTCAACCTTGCTAAAAAGTTAGCTGCGTTACCTCATCACATTGAATTACACAGTGAGAAAACAGCGTTGTTGTAAAGAGTATTATTTGTTTTTGATGCCTCCCATCTTGTTACCTTGGTTGGTGATTGGCTAATGGTTACACAAGCCAAAAAATCGTTATGACATCATAAAGTGGCCAAAATCTGATCAGCTCATTTTCAGACAGGTTCTTATATAAATGGATCAGGACAAAAAGTGAGCGAATCTCTTTCCACAGAGGGGACACATGTCTATGTATAAAAGACATGAAAAAGTGGATTTTGCATAATAGGTCCCCTTTAACATCCCAGAATCCTTTGCCTTTATGAAATACAGCATGCACAGTAACATGTGAGAGGAAATGTGCTTGAATTGTGATTTTATTTCTCAAAGAGAAGGAGTCTATGCTACATTCCTAAAAGCATTATTCCCAGCAGAAAATTAGATTTTGACACATCAGAGATAGAATAATGAACACATAACCAGGTCTGTTTAAACATACAATTTTGGCACAGACTAACCAATCCAACCTTAAAAAGCCAAAAGGTGCATACTCAGATTGTGAGGCAAATTAAATAAATGGTGACATGAAGTGTGCTTTTAAATTGCCTAATTGGCCAATATACCCCATTACTGGCTATTACCATTATCCGGAGTTAACGATTGAAGTGAATGACAGCTTTAATAAGGTGCACATTTCTACTCAAAAACCCCTTCTAGCTTGGGTAATGGCTTCGTTGGTATCATAGCAACAAGTGGCAAGTAAGTGAGTGGAGAGCATGTGAGACATGTCCGTATGATAATGATGCCTGTCTTGTACATCTGAATTAAATGGTGACGCGAAGCTTCCCACACAGCTGACATTTAGAACATACAGTATGTTGAAATGCTTTGTTATTAGGCCAAGTGACGGAAGTAATTGTGTAAAAAGAAAACCTATAGGGCACAACGTCTCTCCCTATCTGCTCAGTCCCTGACATGGATGTGATATCTTGATCATGAGTGCAGATAAAACCAGAGACAGCTTGGTAAATGTCTATCGTCACTCCTTATTGCTTTTTGATTGAAGCTCTCACCGCAGTTATCTTAATGATCTGAAAATCATTATTGAAGCATGAGTTAATTATCTGCATATTTGATTTTCTACTTTAACTGTGATTTACATGCAACATCTTTGACAAAAAGTGAGATGATTGAATGCAGGATGATGGATGTATGACCATCTCTGATCCTCCTTGCAGCAGTAGTCCAGAACGTGCCAAAATGTTTTCTGCATTGCATACAAAGGACTTGAAGTCAAACCCTTTCTTTCACCCTTTTGTTTTCCCCTTACCTCCTCCATTCGTGACTGTGATTGGCTGCCATAAGCTCAGGAATACTGCCCTCTCCTGATTTGCTGGCAGCAGGAGGAGGCAGGAGCTGTGTGTGAACATAAATACAGAGAGCAGCTTTGACAGGCACTCTTATGCATCTGCTTTCATCATCTCTTAAACAGAACTGTATCCAGCTCCATCACTGACATCAATCCAGTTCTCAGGCAAGGATCCCGAGGAGAAGAGATTATTTCAAGCTGTGTTTTGGAGAAAAGAGACAGAAACTCATCATGTCTTTTGAAGTGAAGGAGAAGACGGAGGTGCGCCTGGTGTTTCTTGGAGCAGCAGGAGTGGGGAAGACAGCCCTGATCCAACGATTCCTCAAAGACACCTTCGAGCCAAAGCACCGGCGCACAGTGGAGGAGCTCCACAGGAAGGAGTACGAGGTGGCGGGTGTCAAAGTCACCATCAACATCATGGACACCAGTGGCAGCTACTCCTTCCCCGCCATGAGGAAGCTCTCCATCCAGAACAGCGACGCCTTCGCCCTGGTGTACGCCGTGGACGACCCAGAATCCCTGGAGGCGGTGAAGACTCTGCGAGAGGAGATCCTGGAGGTCAAAGAGGACAAGTTCACGCCAATTATGGTGATAGGCAACAAGATAGACCGCCTGGACGAGCGCCAGGTGTCCAGCAAGGACGTGCTGTCCATGCTGGAGCAGGACTGGAACCACAGCTTCATGGAGTCCTCCGCCAAAGACAACGTCAACGTGATGGAGGCTTTCAGAGAGCTGCTCCAGCAGGCCAACCTGCCCAGTAGGTTCAGCCCGGCCCTGTTCCGGAGACGAGAAACCTTCCCCAAGGAGAACAGCAAACGACCCAAACTGAACAAGACCAACAGCTGCCTCATCACATAAGGATGGGGAGCTGCTCGGTGGGCAACAACGCCAAAAGAGAACGAAAAAACTGCTCACGAGAGACAGAAAGGACTCTCTTGGTGGGGAGTTACATACCAAGAGACAGTATTAAAGACTTTAGTGAATGTCTTCTGGCTTGAAAGCATGACATCCAACTCTGCAACAGCACTGGAGGCACAGAGATTCTCCAATGAGAACGGACATGTCAACAGATATCAGATTAACGACGAATGTGGTTGGCTTTTTCTTTAAAACTAAAAAAATGTGCACTTACTGTGAATGTCAAAAATGATGATGTAATAAAATGTGTAGAAGCAGCGTTATGTTCAAATGTGTGAGGTTTTATTTTGAAGTTTTTGTTACTGGTGTTAAAGAAGTGCAATAATTGTGAAGTGATGGGTATTAATGCAAAAATGTGTGTGACATAAGATTGTTTTAAGAAGTGAACAACAAGGAGAACAGTTTATATTTTTGATATCTGCACATCAGATGTTGTGAATTATCGTACAGCCTTTTGAAATGATTAATGATGTTTATCCCTCTTTTTGTTTGACTTAATAAATCCCTTTTTTTTATTGTTTGACTTGTTTTTGATCATTTGAAAAGGAATTTATTGGAATTTGAACAGTTTTACTATACCTCCTGTCACAGTGAGAGTCATCCACTGGACTTATTTGCAGATTAAAAATATCATTGTTCTCTTTCGGGGGACATATAGACATGGAAAAATATAAAGGTATGACATTAAGTTATCACATCCTAAACTGAATACAATAAAAGTGATAAAGCTTTCCTGCATTTAGAGATATTTGTTTTTTTAACCCAAACCATTTTTTTTATAGCACATTCAAAAACAAAGTGCTAAACAGGCAAATAAATCAGATCAATACATAACAAACAGAAGAAATTAAAAAAAATGAAGGATTTTAACGTGATGGAGGCTTTCAGAGAGCCGCTCCAGCAGGCCAATAATAATAATAATAATTTTCACAGATTTTTGGGATATGCTACAGAGATTTTGAGAGATTTGAGAGCTTATAAAAAAGCATTCCCATAATAACACATTTTATTCACTTTGCTCCTAAACTGTGGAACACCCTACCAGGAAATATCAGAGGCCAATTTAGCCGACATTTTTAAACGACAGTTGAAGACACATCCTTTCAGATTAGGTTTTTATTAGCAACACCCTCCTTTTAAATGGAGTTCTAGTCTTTATTATTGACTTAATTTGATATTGTTTTATTTATTTTTTATGGTTTTTTAGGTTTTAACTTAATTCATAATGTATTTTTTTGTCTTTTTCGAGAGGAATTAGTCTTTTTTCATTGTTTTTGTTATACCTTTAACCTTGTGTCTTAACCCATTAAAATACTATTTTATCATAACAACATCTTAACATCTGATCTGAGGGATATTACTTTTTGTTTGCTTTAATTTGTGATGTGTGCCATTTTGTAAAGCACTTTGAGCTGCACCTGCTGTATGAAGAGTGCTATATAAATAAAGAGTCATTATAACTCAGAAGACAGGATGCGATATCTGAGGTGAAGCTTTACAGCTCTCTGGTATTTAGATAAGCAGACTTTAAAATTCCTCAGAAGACTTGGAGCTCATCCTTCTTCCTCTTAGCTCGTCTACATACACGTGTGAGGAGGTGTGTAGTACCATTGAGCCACAATCAAATGGCATATTAAATTACTGTTACTCCACTACTACTTGCCTTGTTTTGACACAACTTATTTCCTTTTACTGATAATGATTGTTGAACAGGAAATGTAAAAAGAATTTTAAAAAACTGCAGCATCACTCCACCAACCTGCCTGTATTCAAAGTGATTGTTGTTTGTGGTATGCGTACCAATAATCCCTGGAAAAGGGTCTTCATACCGAGTGTATTGATTAAATAAAGCACATTTTGCATTGGTGTAAAAACAAAACCAATTCCACGATCTCTGTTCTGTGTTTTATTGCCCTCTGGTGGTCATTTTATACAAAAGAAAGATGAATTCTCTTTGTATGGGGAAGCAGGTAATTTTAAATAATGTAAAATAAGAAAATAGGGGAACCAAAAAACCTGAGAGAATGTATCAGCTTCTGATTCTTATGCCTGCTTCAATGCATGATAGAAAGTAAAACAAATAACCCTATAATCCAACAGTTAAATAAGCTACTCAGGGTTAGGGTTAGGGTTAGGGTTTAAAGCACTGTTTATGGTTCATTTTGACATTAGTTGATGTGCAGTTTCTTGAAAATATCCACAATTAAAACAGTATTTGAAACTCTGACTTACAAATATATACTTTATGCCTGCCATGAAATACGAAGGCTGGTTCAATTCATTCTTGATGAACTTTTCGATGTTCTCTCAGAGCCCTTCATAGGTGGTGTTGACAACATCTGATTGTTAAAGGCCAAGAGGACGAGTAAAAAGGTACGCTTCCTCTTTCCAAAAAACATTCATAGACACGGTGCATTGTTTGCCCAGAATCAGACGAGGAAGTGACATATGATGATAAGATCTCAGGTTCCTCTTTGTATCCCGTTTAAACTCACCGCCGGCTCACAGCAGGAGACAGAAACTCGTCTTTCTCGGCACACAGGCGGACGCAGAGAGGCAGATCGTCCTTTTTAACGCTCAGGTGGGAACTACACTTTCAATTCAGGTTGTCGTGAACTCAGATATATGTCTCTGTTGTAGATAGGATTTACATGGAAGCATATTTTTATATGATGACAGCTTCAATGTCTACCATAAAGTGCTTTTAGTTTGTCTCTGCTCCTAGACTTGGTCATAGCTCCTCAGTGTTTTAAATATACCTGAAAAGTTTTGAACAAGTATAGGATCTCTGACGTCACTTCATCACATGTAAAGGCCAACAATTAGAAAATTACTGGTACAAGTTCAACAAGATTTACTGTAGTACGGCACATAACAGTTAAAGGCCTGTTCACCCATACTGTATTTACATGTTTTTATGACCTATATTCTGTAGATTACCATTGTTTATGTCAATCAAATATGTACGGTTAAATGTAAAGTATTTAATTTAACATTTTGTTTTGATCTTATTCTATTCAACATGTCTGTAGTTTATGTATTTCTGCATTTTACTTGTAATTCCTGTTTAGTATGTTGTATGATGGTTCCTTATTTGACACAGCAAGAGGAAACGGTTGTATTTTCATTCAACAAGCTAGACAGAGTTGAAGCATAATTCAGTTTAAAAGGATGTACAGAAACACTTTTTTGGAAAACTATGAGAATGAAGAGAGGTGACTGAAGATGAGAAATGATTGTATATGTATGTATAAATGTAAATGTAAGTAGGAATAACTTGCATAATGACTTAAAGGACAATCATTGATCAAGTAAGGGGTGGGAATTAATAAGCATTTGCTTCCTCCTACTCCCATTCGGACACATATTTTTTTTTTTTATTATTATTATTATTAATATGAAGACTTTTTTTGTTGAATATATAAATATTATCGTGAATGTGGATAAATACTGTATTTTAACAATACGGTATTCTGTTTTTCACATTTGTTATTTTTTATTTGTAATTTTTTTTAATCTGTTCGAAATAAAGATTGAAATGAAATGAATGAAATGAGTTGTGTAGTCTAAATCAGAAGACTGCAAATTCAAGTCAGGGGAACATTTTATTCGTAAACGACATTTAGTACACCAGTGACGGATAACATTTGAGTCTGCATAGCAACAGCATTTAATATCGACAACCTTCACATCTGTGCCAATACAACACCATTGTGCATTAAGGATCGAAAATACCCATCGATTAGCACATCAGGAGAATCCCAGTATCCATAATTACAACAAAACGTAGCAAAAGGCATTCAGTATGGGAAACATATCAACATGTGAAATGGAAACAAACGTTGAACGAATAATTGTGGTTTTTTTTCAGTATATTTCCCTGAGCAGAAGGCTTGAACCTCACAGAAATACACACCTTGAAGTTTATTCAGAGGGCACAAAGGGGGTGCTTGTTCACAGTTTTTAAATGGGAAAATATCAAAGTATGTTGTCCATGTACATCAAGACTACAGTGCTTTTTTCGCCAGTTGAGTAAATACGCACATATTTCACATTAATGCTGGCTATTTTTTTGCACATCCTTCCTTTCAAGCAGCCATCAGTTTCCAATTACTTTGGTTCAGTACATAAACAACCACATTTTTTCTTGGTTGTCTTTCTAAAAAGTGATGCACCTTAAGCATGGAGCCACTCAAAGACCACATTACATTCAGGTGCTGGTTCAACACTCAAGCTTAAGACTTCAACATTGTTTGAGCCGCTCATTTTACTTTTTCAAACAAAGCATATAAAAACTTTGAGGACCATAAATGAGATTCCATTAACCTCCACTGCACAGAGGTACCAGCAGAAACAAACAGAAGCACTTAACCAAAACTATGTTCTCTAACAGAAGGTAGGGAAACATATGTTGTCATAATTTAGTTGAACTAACCCCCCTAATATATACACAACATAAACGTATTATCCATTCATTTCTACCAGTGTTGAAAACCTTTTTGTGTCACATAGGACATTTGACCAAGCATCCAAATATTCAAAAAAAAGGTGCATAAGATCAATCCGGGCAACGATAAGCAGTGTTGACTCTGTGGTTTGAAATAAAACACGCATTTAATACAAAGATGTCACAGCCCCGTCACAGATGGAGAATTGTTAGTAAAGCACAAACGCTTGATACTGGAGAACTGTTTCTCTTATGTATTGCTGTTGAAGCTCATTCCTTAGATGAGGTAACGGCGCAGCGTAAGACAAAATAATTGTTTAAATTTAAAGCATTTTTTGCAAAAGTTGGAAAACCGCAGCGTGACGAGGAGTGGCTTCAAAACATGACTGAATACATCAAAGTTTGCCATTTTGTCAGGTTTTCTCAAACTAAAAATGCACATGTTTACACCTTTTGAAAAGAAGTTTAATTTAATAACTAGATAGTATTAACTTTTTTAACTTCTTTAACTGATACATGTAGTCCTGACATACAACACATGGATCATGGCGTTAGCATGTTTTTCAGCACTGGGTAGAAGTGCTCCTGCTTCAGTCCCTGTCCCACCCACCTCTCCCTCCTCTCCCTCTGAGCTTTAGTCGTCCGTGGTGATGTTGCGGAACAGGTAAGCCATGGACTCTCCGTTGTGGATGCGCCGGATGGCCTCAGCTAATATCATGCTGACGTCCACCGTCTTGATTTTGGGACACTGTAGCTTCTGTACTTCATGGGGGACTGTGTTGGTTACCACCACCTGAGGGGGGGGGGGGGGTAACCAAAGGTGCAATTTATTTTCATGCTGATAAACAAAAAATCTTCAGGATCACAGATTGAAGGGGCCCAATTGTGCTAATTTTCAGAGCCCAGTCAGCTCCGTTATGATTGGTCAACAGTTTAGAGTGTTGGAGCACTAGCCAATAAGCGCAAGTGTTACTGGAACTTTGGGATTTTATCCTTTGCAGACCATTTACATGCACACAAATCCTTTATAACGCACTACAGGAAAGGGTAACCCCCAAAAGCATAATAGGGCCACTTGTACTCCTTTGCTTTGGTACACCTGTGAGTTTTCAGTGGCTACTGCTGTTCATGGTTTTTAAACGCGTAATCTGATCATGCTTAGAAACTGACTGCAGGTGAAATTAAACACCTTTTTATTCCAGTGTATTCCTATTAATCAGATTTGACCATAACACAAGTTGACGGTAACTATTGTTTTTTGAAACCTGTATAGTTAAGAGGAACTGAAAATGTACAGAAATACAACTGCAATACAATGCTACTTTCCTTATTGTTGTTAGAGCTAATGTCATGTAACATAACAAGTCCGCAAAAAAAGAACATTAGAAGGAAGTATCATCTTTCTTTGTTTTACATTGCGTTCCTAAAGAATAAATGGAAACAAAAGATTTTGGTGTTTGCTGGTTTAAAGGAAATTGGCCTTTGGTTACTTCCTTATTTATATTTTACAGGTTTGCCACAACACATTCATAAACAATCAACAATAACTGATTTAACTTTACTACGCAATATTGTAAAAAAGCGTTGCCGTGGACTCACCTCATCGATGGCGGATTCCTCGATGAGGCGTGGAGCATCGGCCGACAGTAAGCCGTGTGTGGCCATGACATAAATCTTATACGCTCCTCTCTCTTTCAGGATCTCTGCAGCTGCAACAAAGTCTCCCACATCGTCTATAATGTCATCCTGGAAGAAGAAGAAAGAAACAGCAACGTACAAATTACACCCCTGCCTCTTTGTCTTTGGTAATGTGCTGTAACAGTGCTTTTAAGTAGCCTAGGGTAATAGCAGGAACATATAAGAACAAGTACTGCCTTAACATAAAGACGGTGAATTGACTCAATAATGTCCGTTATATATGAATATCAATCATTAGCCTTCGTTAGCTAACATTAGCAACCATAAGCTACTGATAATGCCACATTAGACATTAGCAGCAAAACCCTTTTGTTCACTACATTTAGCAAGCGCAGTTTTTGTTTATAATATTGCTTCATTGACAAAAGAGAAAAATGTCTTTCAATATATTTTTGATATATCTAATATATCTTTTTACTAGACGGCTTGGTTGAATACTCAGTTCTGATTAGTACATTTCAGAGGTTGTCAATACTCGATAACAGACCGCTACTAAGGAAAGCATGACCGTTGCTAAGGAGGATACGTCATATCAATCCGCAGAAAGAAGTCCGGTCGATTTAACGCCTGCTGTGCTGTGGTTAACAAACATGAGTTTTTATCCATCAGAAAACAATATGGAATACTTTTTGAATATTCACTTTTAAATGACAAGGGAGAACTAAGTGCTATAATAATAATAATAATAATAATAATAATAATAATAATAATAATAATAATAATAATAATAATAATAATTATCAAACATGGCAGAGCAGCTGACCGTCAGCTCATCACGGCATCTTACCACAATGATGGCAATCCTCCCTCCCACGTCTCCGACTACAGTGATGGGGGGTTTCTCCTTGGCCATCATTACTGTAGAGGAAAGCAGAGCGTGTTGCCTGTGAGAGAACTTCCAAGAGGTTATGTGTGTGCTGTATTTCACCCAATGGAAAATAAATCTCTGTAGATTGGGTAAAATGGGTTGAGAAAATGTTTTGCAATCAAGGCAAATTGTGCACCCCTGGATTATGGGCGTGTTATTGGATGATGTCAATGATTTGTAGAGATTCTGTTGTTATAATGCCGTCACAAATTAAAATAAGTTTAGAAATGTTCCCCCCATTGTACCCCACCTACCCCTACGAGATTAAAGTGAAATGCAAAACTGAGTACAGCACATGCCATGCAAAAATCAAAAGGGACAGTTTTTGTTTCGTCTGCCCAGGATACCCAATCACACACAGCCTGAGGCCGGGCTGTGGCAGGCTGCATATGAACCCATATGCAGCAGATAGTCGTATTTCACACAGGACCACAGTGGCTGACAAGCACTGATGAGGGGTTCTTCAAACACACTTGCCAATGTTCTGGGGTCAGTCCTCAGTCGAACATCACAGCTGCCAGCGACTACTTTTACATGCACACAATCATCTGTTTGTATCTCACATGCCGATCACAGGCAGCTGTATTTTTACCAATGTCATAAAATAAACTATTTATTGGCCGCTAAATGTTATGTTCCCTTAAAAAATGCTGCTAACTTTTTTTTGTACTTGTGTGTGCTTGCCTCTTTATGTTTACTCTGTGTGTCTTTTATGTCCCTTCTGCTGTAACAGTGTAAGAGTACATTATTTCCTGATTCCGTATATAACTCAGATATTGATATCTATGCAGCTTTGTTTATCATTGTGAATACTTCCGTGAAAGGTTGCAAAGCTATTCATGCAATCCTATCCACCCCATGCTACAAGCAACAACATGTATGTTCCTCTGAGGGGGCACTTTAGGATTATTTCTCTTATCAAACTAATCTTTGATCCAACACAATTACAGTTTCTCAAAATTTAAGAGGACTTTCTGTCAATCCAAAACCAAAAGATGCAGCTCTACTTTGCCCATGACAAACATCCAAGAGTCAATCAGCTGGAAGTATACAAATTGTCCAAATAAAGGTTAAGTAGATGCATTATAACACAACCTGGTAAAGACAACATCAACAGGCTCTACCTTGTGACCTACAACTACAATGAGTTGATCTAAATCACCTTTTTTGATAACAATGTTTTAAAAGCTGCATTTGAAGTATTGTTGTGCATGTAAATGTAGTAATTCAAAGGGAATAAAGAGACAATCCACTGGTAAACAATCAGCCAGCCAAGCCGATTGTGGAGGAAAACGGATATCGAAGCAGAGACAGGAGGAGCATGCCTTGCTGAATACCGTGAGCCGCACAGCATCAGAAACCTGCCAGTGTCACATTCAGACTTTTATCACTATTAACAAAGAACAGCAAAAGCCATGTTGTTAGCAGTATACACACACTTCTCTAAAATATGGTTTACAGCTTGCTGAGATACTGAAACCAGTTACCTGAGAAATATCTGGTCAGATATCTTGAAATTATTTTTAAATAAAATCAACATTATCCTGATAGATTTGAATAGCTTTTGAACAGCAGGTTAGCATTGCATTCCAGAAATCATACGGATTAAAGTGTGAGACTACACTTTATATTATTGTTGATAGAATAAGTTCTGGTATTATAACTAAAGTAAGGAAATGAAACTTTGATTTGACTTGCTTAAAACGTGTCAACAATTCCATTCATAATGCTTCTTCTTCGCATCATTTCATGTTAGGATTCAAAAGCATGCTTTGTTCTTCTCCTCACATGCACTATGACCAAAAGTTAATCAGGTTTTGAAGAGCGGGGTGGGGGGGGGGGGGGTTTAATCAGGGTGCACCATGTGTTGATTGGCAAGATGAGTCCAGATATTCAAGGAAAAAAAATGTAAAATGATAACTTTTGGCATGGTTCTGGTTTGATTGATGGATTTCGAAATTAAATCAGAACACAACAAAACCAAGAGGAGTTTGGCCATCTTGTAGAACAACTGTCTGGAATCTTAGAAAGGTGGATAACACGCTTATTTCAAGTCAAACACGCCATGCAAATAGCATACTGTAGCCGGTTTAAGAGGTTTTCTCAATGTGTGCACTACAAATCACTTTTTTTGACAAACTCCCCCTCCAGAATCCAGACTGTTTTTTCACAAGATGCGACACAAACCCTTTGTCTACACATGCACCAATTGAGGAACCATTTGAAGAGGAATCATTTCATAGTCAGATGGAAGTTATGTTTTACGGTCGTACTTGGGAGCTCTATGCCGGGGAACGGAGCTTGTTGTTTGCCTGCTATTACCAACAAATAAACACCACGTTAACACAAATGCACAAATATTTGACATGACAAACACATGATGCCGAGACTTGGAAAATCCTCCCGCTAGGTAGGCAGAGATTTAAAAAATATTTCATAGCAACTAATTAGATTAGATTTTAAAATGCAAGACTTTTTATAGTTTAAGATATTTAGGAAGTTTCAAAGGAGGATTTTTTAAGTCAAGGGTGAACACAAGTAAGAAATATTGTTACTAAATAATAAAGTGAATACTGGACGCAGTTACGTCGGAGTCATTTGCCAATGACACAATCATTTCTCATACGGAATTATTCCAAAAGGCCTTACCGGGAATCAACCCTGCAAATATGTCAAAGACGGTATGCCAGAGTCACGTTATAGTATAAATATTTAAAAAATAGAGCTACTTTCCAAAGAAATAGGCAGGAACTATGATCTATGATTATTAAGCATGTCACTTTTTTGCAAGTTAGGAGTTGCAGCTGGTGGAGGATGCAGCATGAGTAGAAGTAGTGTTGTATCTGTGGAATTAAAACATGCAGTGACACAGAGAAATCCATTCCTTGGAATGTGGCTGATGGTATGAGTGAGAAACGGCAGACTCGTCAGTTCCAAACAGGTTAGCACAAATAAGATCTGGATCGGGCTGTGGGTGTCGTAAACTTGATGCACTTAAGGATTTAACTGGCAGGAATAAGAAGAAGAAGTTCCTTGCTTAATTGCAGCATGGTGTGACAAATAAAAAGGTAATCTAACTGTGAGAAACAATAAATATGTTATCTGTAGAGAGGGTCAAATCGAGCCAGTGTTTGACCTATTGATCTGCAAAAAAACCTATAAAAAAAACAGCATTCTATAGAAATGGGTGTTCTTACGAGGAAGCTCCAGTCCTGTGTGTCCGGTGGTGTTGCGTACACAAGGTGGGGAGTGTCTGCCGTCAGCCATGTCGGACTCTGAACACTGAGCCTCGCCGTGAATCACAGCCAGACCCAGACGCAGGCGCTCTGCATAGGACTGCGCCCTAATGAGGATAGAGATAAAACACATATTTAGTCACATGGATTTCAAAAGACATTGGCATTTATACACAAAAAAACATGTGTAGGATTGATAATTCTGGCAACAACAAACGAGTGGTGCAGGAATGAGACTGAAAACTATTTTTTTTTTCTTTTTTTTTTTAGCTTAGATGAGGTGAAAGTCTGAAGCTTTCATGTAAAATTAAAACAGCGGTTACTAGCAAGTGACTACATAAGACCACTAAATCTCAATTAGCCACATTTAGCTTAGTCATGCGCCCATGATGTAGCTTGTTTTAAGTTAGCTTTTTACATATAGCAATTGCATTTACACTTTCACTATTATAAAGAGAGTTCTAATATTTGAAGAAAAACCTGCTGAACAAATTGTGCATGAATAATAAATGTGTGTTTGCCACTGATCTTATTTTCTGCAATATTCTAAAATCCAATAGAAAAATGTAATCGCTCTTTGTTGAGGGAGCCCTTGCAATGCTAACTTCTGGGTGGGCCGTCAAAAATAAATCTCTTTAGTGTTTTAAATGAAGACAGTTGAAAGGTAATTTATCAAAACAATGCTAACAGAAGGTGAGATGTAGCGGAGGTTAAATGTGTTTATTTGTATCCTCCAGTTACCTCTTTGCTGCTGATGGTGACTTGGCCACAATGATGGCATTCCTGTAATCAGGAATCTGACAGAATGAAGAAAAATGGATGTCAATATTTACATCATGTGATTGATGGGTTTGGTCAACAGGTGGGGTTAACAACACTTAGATTTAAACACACACAGATAAGACAATGGAAAGGATTGATCACCTCTTCTTGGATGTACTGAATCAAGAAAGGAGAGGCACGCAGGTTGTCTACTGGGAAGCTGAAGAAGCCCTGGATCTCCTTCTGATGCAAGTCCATGGTGATAATATGTGTTATCCCTTTGGGGTAAAATACAGATTAATAGCCGGGTCTTCCCCCCCCCATTTAACACAGGTACACAGTCAACTGTGAATTTGTGAACATCAAATGAAACACTACTGATGGAGAGGGATGAAAAGACAGGCACACAAATCACAGGTTTTGATGAATTGTGTTCTCTTTACCTGCTTTCGCTAGCATTGAAGCTAACAACTTGCTAACTATTGAGCCCCTCTTCCTCATCTTGCACTGTTTGCTGTAGGGGAAGTAAGGAATGACTCCAATGATGTTCTTTGCACAAGAGGTCTTGAGGGCGTAGGCCATTACCAGCAGCTCCATAATAGCCGTGTTTACATCTCTGTTTGCATGAAATATAAAAAATACACGTTTAGTGATAACCAAATAAACTGTAAAAAGCTGTAGTTTGTAGTTCGTGCAGATGTTAAACTCACCGCGGTATGGTCTGGATGATGAAGATAGTTTGTCCACGAACTGATTCTTTCACATCCACTCTAGTTTCTGTTGTGATAGGAAAATTAGGGACACAATCATTTGATTAAGCAAAGCTGCATCTTAATTTCAGTACTGTCTAATACTGATGACTTTTTGCACTTTGTCAGTAACTGTTCACCTTTGTAAATAATGGGAAGAATTTAGCAAATGTATCAGTCACTGATGATAGGTATTCACACAGGACATGTTCTGTTTGTAGTATTATGCAGGTAGTCATACAGTACCTGGTTATGGTAACCAGTAAAGTGAGGTAGTCTATGAATTGAGTGCAGTTGTTTGTGTAGAAGGAGGGTGAGGGTCAAGCATGGTGGCAGCTAGGTGTTAAGCTTTTCAGCAATCTACAAAATATGGTATAGCAACCTTACTGATTTTTAAAAATCTCACTCAACATTTGAGTTGTGGAACTCCTGTCTAAGAATCCCAGGCAGATTATACCAATAACCTGTTTAAAATGTCTTCTAAACTCACTTGTAATTGTGTTTTCTATCCTTTACTAATTGGGTACTATTAAAAAAAAAGTTATATAGAATTGAAATCTATAATTACCAATCATTTTTGTTGTTAGCAGGAATGTGTTTTTAATATTCTCCTCACCTCTGTTAGATTCCTGAAAGACCACAGACTTCCCCAGTTCAACTCCCAGTCTCCTGTGAAGAAAGAAAGAAAGATAGATAGATAGATATATAGATAGATAGATAGATAGATATATTTTGTTACAGCAGCAATTGAAATCTTTAAAAAAGGTGTAAAAAAGTCAAACATAATAAAATACAAATAAATAAACATCAGCAAGTAAATATACATATCTACAGTAGAAAGGACATGAACCACAGAGACAATTCAATATAACATTTTCTAGATACAAATACACAATCGTGAGGTGCTCATTGATTCCTTCATTGTTTTATGACTAGACAGGCTCTTGTTTGGAACAGATTTGTATACAACATTTTGAGTAGTCAGCAACGCTGGAATACAATGAAAATATGCTTACTCCGTTATCTTCTTTGCCAATTCTGTGCATGCTACGGAGGAGTTTGCGGAAAAGACACGATAACCACTTTTAGCGACGTTCATCGTGGCAGAGCAGGTGGTTTATTTCTCACTGACAGCAGAGGCTCCTTTTTGTCTCGGCGTCTGTTTCTGATTCTCTTCTAATGACGTTGTCGTTGGTTAAACAGCTAGCTAGCTACCTACCATACACTGTACCGCTAGGTTAGCAAATCACACGAAATGACCTCCAGTGTGCGACATAAACTCAGCTACAGCAAAACTTAAAATTAAACATTAAATACTGAGTTTATTTTACTTATTTGTCCAATTGCTTGCGGAGAAACGGCACATAACTGTCACAATGTAGCACTATAGCCTTACAACTGTGTTAGCACGGAACTACGGAATCTCCTTTGGGTCAATCTTGCCAAATACGCTTTGCGGAATATATATTTGTTTGAGGATGATAGTGCGTCACATTAGCAGTGGGGGATAGTAGCAAAGTACTTTTACTCAAGTACTGTACTGATGTACAATTTTGATGTACTTGTACTTAACCTGCGTATTCATTTAAATCCATTATTAAATACACTTTGACATATATTCATAAGTTAAGATATCCAAAAGCAGTATATCAAATTAGTCAAATTATCTTGCATTTACCATTTGTGATACAACCATTTATTCAACTCTATTTTAGAGTAGACCTAAAATAAATTGCTTAATATATGTTGTTCTTACCCCCGAACTACATACTTCACACAGGTGTGCCAGTGTGACTGAAAGACATCTGAGTGAGCTAATCCCTAAATAATGTAATACTCAAACCGTGCATTTACTCGAGAAATATTGTTTATACGTTATTATTTTATAATGTGTGCACAAATTAATGATTAGACTGATCTGATGAACTGATAAAGTGATCATCTAAGATTCATGGATTGATGACATTTTAATAGTTTGGTTAAAACTACAGGCAGACAGTCATAACAAGCCCCTGTTATTTATTTGATTCTTGCCTTCAGTTGTTGATAGATAGATAACTATCTATTTGCCTTTCTATAAATCATTTACTAATTGTAAATATGGCATTTCTGGCAGCCCATCAGTAATACTCTAACCGTCCACCAGATGTCATTACTCATTAGCCCTGGATACCAAGTACAGTTATGTCTTATAGTCTAATCAGTTTAGAATGATCCTTATGTTACTAGCCTGAACCAGTCCTTCTAGTGTGGGTGCAAACAGGGGTAATTGTTGTTGTTGTGACACAATACGAAATCTTCTGCAGAAAGATAAAGTGATACGTGCAGAACGTGTCGATCCAGAATCATTGACCAACTCTCTTTGTTTGTTTATCCAAAATAACCTGTGCAGTTAGACATTTCTTACAGGAATTATGACATTTGAATGTGAGTGCCGGAGATGAACTTGTATTCAACTTTAACTTCCCATGGTTTCATTAATTACAATGTGGTTAGCTGGCATATCTTTAATTCTGCTGGCAGTCAAGATGGTATATCTGCTCACAAAGGTAATTAAGATATTCTACACTCTGCAATACCGGAAATATTAGATGACTCAAAGCACAATCAAGTTTTTTCAGTAAGTTGATTGTGATTGGTGTGCTCTTGAGGACTCTGTAAATGTTTAACATGGGTCAGTACGTTGTTGGCACCTACTGTACATTGTACCTCCCCAGTCAGGCAATAAATATCACCTCAATCTTGGCTTTTGTAAAAACATCTGATGTCTTTTAACTGCTCTCGTGTTTGTTTACCTCAGTGTACTCACAGATTCCTGGTAAATGACCCTGTGAGCCGGGCCCACCGTGAAAATGGAATAAGAACATTCTCAAGTTTTGAACACAACCAAGATCTCCCTGACTGATATCCACAGCTGCAACAAAGAGACAATACATGAACAAGTTCAATGAGCGGTGTGGCTCTCTTGAGGGTGTGTGAATATAATGGAAAGTGTAACAATTGAGTGATAACACGCTCATATAATCTCTATCTTGTCAGAAGCACAGGAGAAACCAAATGAAATATAAATCTGCCCTATATCTGATGGACGTCATGCTTTTTAATTTTGTGTTTCTACAATGCAGGGCTTTGCGAGAAATCACAGGTTAATCTCCTGGATAGTCTGGAATGGTGGTGATGGAGGTAAAAGGTCAGAGTGTGCTATTTTATCTTTTTTTTCCAACGTCATAATCTTTCATTGAATCCACGCTCGAGCCTACATGTAATACATATCTGACTCTTTTATTAAGGATTTGTTCTTTATCTCATTATGTTCTCATCAAACACCACCTACAAAGGTGAGGTGGTCAGAGTGAGAAATAAAGAGGGAGAGAGAGGCAGGATAGGGAGAGTATAAAAGAGAGAGTACAGAGGCTCCTCCTCGTTCGCTGCGTGTGTTTCTTGTGTGTTTTTCAGGCTGTTCTTCACTCACACTCTCGCTCAGCAGAGATTCAGAGGTGGAGAGCAAAGATTCTCACTGAGAAGAAAAAAAACAGGGGGGAAGGGCAACAGATTTCCATCCTCTCTCACCAGAAAAGAGACGTATACAAGAGAAAAGGTAAAAATATAGTGTTTATTTTGAAGGAGGTTGGGTTCTCTCATTAGCCCTGCCTTCTGCACGTGCTCAGCTCTGCACTACTGTGTTCCTAGATGGAGAGGATGCAGGGAGAGGCAGAGGGGGACCACCTGGAGAGACCAAGCCCACTGACTGACAAGGAGAAGGTGATGATCCAGGACTCCTGGGCGAAAGTCTACGAGAACTGCGATGACGCCGGGGTGGCCATACTCGTCAGGTATTTCTTTAGTCTTACTCTCCTGTTTTGAAATGTTGAGTTAGGAAGATATTTAAGATAAGATATACTTTATTGATTCCAATTTGGGCTTTTTTCTGTTAAAACAAGGCATTGCACCTAATGTGAATATAAAAAGTAGAACATAAACTAACATAACATATAAACATCTAAAAAAAAACAAAAACATGTTGACTGTCAAATCTGCCAAATGAACAGTGTGAAGGGCCAAATTACAGCAAAATATAAAAGTAGGATATTATTTACATTAAGTGTGCAAGGGATAACATATTACATTAAATATATATTTGTTTCTCTAATTCTGACAATAATAGAAGTCTTAAATGCTGACTTTTCATCAATCTTCTCCCAATTTCCTCAACTTTAATTAGTCCACCAGCAATAAGGTAAAAATTGCATTCGGTCTCTTTCTCCCCTCAGTAATATAACTGCACCTGCGAGGCTCACTGATAATTTTCTGCCACAGAAAACCGCAAAAATATCCACCTAAATCAATTTAACTCCAAGGATTATCCTCCCTCCGAATTCAGCTGCCAAATTCTGATCTCGTTGACTTTACAAGTTTCCAGGCTGTAAAAAAAAAAGGAACTATTTTTGCATCTGATATTCTCGCCTCTACTCCTTTTTCTTAATCCTATTCCTCAAATAGTAGAGGCACAGGATAAACATTGCAATCCATCAGTCAGACATCTTTGGCTCCCAAAGAGCTCCCTCCCAATGAGCAGGTCATGTTTTGAATGCCTGTTCAGAGGGCCGGGGAACCTGCAGCAGCTTGACTCCATCACTGGCAGTCAGAGCTCCGAAACGTCCCTCTTTTGTCTAAAATCATGGGATGAGAGAGTCCATCACAACAGCTATCACCACATGTGTTGCTCAATATTGTTCATTAATCATGGAGACATTCATGGTTAGCATGCAATCCTGTTTGAGGGTGTCGGTGTCACTGTTATTATTGCTCAAAGGATGGAACATCTGGGAAAAACAACCGGGAAAAACAAGTGTGAGCACATTGACTTTTTTTGACAAGTGTGACAATCTGGCAAGTCACGCTGTTCCCTTTATAATCCTATGATTGCAGCAGGTGAAAGTTGAGAGGGAGGTTAGCAGCCATGCAGGGTGCAACACGATTATTTTTACAGCTTACTGACTTTTAGGATTTAGCTGCAGCACTTAAACACATCAAATCACTATCCCACTCTTTGATATGCATATTGAAACTATAAAAATTAATTGAATGTACTTTCTTCTGCCACATTCCTCCACAAACACCCTATGACCTTTCAGGAATTTGAGGAATGATAATAGTTTGATAAGCGTGCCTGTGGTAAATTCTCCTTTTAGTGGTAAAAAGCAAATCACTGTCGCTCTCCGTAACCTAGACTTGAACTTTAACCTTTTCAAACTCCAAAGCAGTTTATGACTCTGAAATTAAACATTTTCTCTGGATTTAGCTCTTCAGTTAGTCTCGACGAAAAGATAAGAAAGGATAAAGAGTCCATAAAAATACTAATGAGGCTATTTATATGCAACCACAGGTCATGCAATTACAAGAGAGAGAGATTAAACACCACGGCTCCTCATTAGTTTGCTACGAAACTAAGAACACTTTGCTTAGCTTCTATCTCTTCCCATTTCAGGCATTTGAGCTCAAATATCGAGCCGTATGCTTCACAGAACAATATTTGCCTCCTTTTTGTGATAGTTGTTGCAGAGACAGTGGGAGATGGGACATCAGGTCTAGAAAGCAGCAACCAGATGCATTGGCGCTCTTCCCAGACAGTGGGTGGGAGTTTTTAGTTTCCTATTTACTAATTCTCTATGATATACCTTTGAGGTTCAATCAGGGACATAAACCAACGAAAACGTCTTTGAACTCACTATTTTTACTCAGAAAAAGCAGGCTGTGCGAATGTTAAAATCCAGACTTGGAACTTGAACAGAAAGCATTTGACATGTAAGCCAAATGAAACATGAAGCGTTGGCTGTCAGGTGAGCTCATCGTAGCCTGAGCACTTTCTTTACCTCCCCCTCTCTAACAAGACATCACAAATCATGTTCGCCTTCCCTTTAATTTGCCATGATTGGAGCCACTTTACAGAACAATTCAGACACATTTGCCAACAGTTTCACAAGGGGGCACAGCAGGAAATGACAAAGATGATTGTCTAAATCCAGAGGACGGATTTCTGGAGCAAGACCTGTTTTTAGCCATGCGTTTTCAACTGCGCAAGAGATAACATAACACCAAATAGATATTAGCATTGATAACGGGATACAGATTTGGTTTAGAATCTTAAAAATCCTGATTCACACAGATGTTTACACTGTGTTCACATTGAAGAATAAATTATATAAATCCTAAAAAAAAAAGCATTTCTTTTTTTGAGATTGTTACGAACTTGGATTCACAAGGGAAAAAGGACTCAAATGCACGACCCGGGAGCCAGAGGTAAAGTATAAGCAATATATACTTTTATTTGCCAAAAAGGATATACAAAAAGACAGCGACGTGCAGTCAGTGGAGGCAGGGGAGGCAGAGCCTCACCTGTCATACCCCAATGTAACGGAAAAACAATTAAAGAAAAACTAAATAATAATAATAATAAAATGTCTCCACTGATCTTGTGTAAATGTGATTTCTGTATGATTCCAATCGCATTTTATAGTCAAAATCAGCAAATTTGCCGAGCTCCGCTACGGGAGCGATGAGAAGTGAGGCAGGTACGAGCACTGCCTCACGTAAGCCCACAGTAACTTGCTGGAGCGCGGGCACTAATTTAGCGCGGCCACTTATTTTGTGAGCGCGCTCAAGCCATTTACTGTGGGGTGAGGTGAGGCACAGATCAGCTCTGCCTCACTTCAGAATGCGTCACCCCACAGAAACTGGCTGGAAAGCGGGCCCTAAGCGCATGCCTGTTCCCATCTCACTGTATGTCACCAATGTAATGTTTGTAGATCCCTTTATTACATTTATCCTCGCCATCCATAGTCTCTAAATAACTTATTTCACGTATATATGATATTTAGGCTCGCTGGTCTCATCGTACAACGGCAATGAAAAAAGCACCAGAAGAGGCAGCCATAACCTCTGCCGCACTGAAGGGGGCGCACGTGAGCCCACAGGTTCTTGTTGCTACTGTTATTCTACCGCAAACAACAAACTAGACTTTTGAAACTACAGGAAGATAAGGAGGACTTTTACAAAACAGTAATAGAGATTGTTGTCCAGAAGGATAGCATGGACTTATATTCATCTTCAAGTCAAGGTAAGACCACAACTGTAATGAAAATGGGATCTTACTTAGAAAGAACAATCCAATATTTAGATTTTGGGTATCCTTTTGTTGATCGGTCTGTTTAAAATTAATCATAGCATCAGATATTCTGGGCTCTATAAAAAAAAAACATCCTCCCCTCGGTCATGAACCTTGGAGTGACCTTCACTAGCACTTTTAAATTCGACAAGCAGGTCAGCACCGTAGTAAAATCCTGCTTTTTTAAAAATAAGACTATTGGCCAAAACCAAGTCGTATTTATCTTTTAATAACTTAGAAAGGGTTATTGTTTGTTTGTAGGGTTATTGTTTGTTTGTAGGGTTATTAACGCCTTTGTAACCTCGAGACTGGACTATTGTAACGCTCTGTATGTGGGTATGGACCAGGCCTCAATTAAATGCCTACAGCTAGTCCAAAACGCTGCTGCACGTTTGCTGACTGGCCACAAAAAGCGTGACCACATCACCCCTATTCTGGCCTCACTACACTGGCTTCCAGTTCGGTTCAGAATTGATTTTAAAATCCTTTTATTTGTTTTTAAAGCACTAAATGGGCTGGCTCCGGCCTATATAGCTGAACTGCTCCAGCGCTACACCCCAGCCAGAGCTTTAAGGTCTGCTGACCAGCTGCTGCTGATAGTGCCCAAGACCAGGCTAAAAACCCGAGGGCACTGAGCCTTCGCAGCAGCTGGCCCTAGGCTCTGGAACACTCTGCCCCTCCATGTGAGGTCGGCCCAGACCCTAGGGGTTTTTAAATCTAAACTAAAAACACACTTCTTCTCTCTGGCTTTCTAGTTAGAGCGGAGCACGACTCCTGACTTTTCCGTATGTTTTATTTTTATTTTGTTTTTAAGATATATCTGTTGTAATTTATTGTCGTTTATTGTAATTGTAGTAATGTGTTTTTATTACATGTACAGCACTTTGGCTCGACCAAAAATCGCTTTTAAATGTGCTATATAAATAAATAAACCTGATTTGATCAGACTAAAAAAGCTTTTGAAAATAACAGAATATTTCGATTAAGGTCAAAATAGGCTATAATATTTGTAAATCTGACTCTGAAAGAGTCAGTGCCTCACCAGCCATGAACCTCACCGCACGTCACTGCAAAAAGAAAAACACTCTTAGCGAGGTGACAAAAATAAAGAGCTTCAATAAGGCTCAACAAAAAACGCTCACAACGTGAGGAACAAAACTTACAAAAGGTTTTCAGGAGCATGAATCAGGCATGTGTCAAGATAAGCAAATGCTGATGAGCAGAGTTCTGGCATGAGGACAGGACAAGACGAACTGACAACAAACAACGGGAAACAGGGGAATATAAACAGGAGATAACTGGGCACAGGTGAAAACAATCAGGGGCGGGGCTGGGCTGATGAGCGCGGGAGAACACACTAGGGAAGGGAGTCAAGGAACCTGAAATGAGACGTGACAATTGAGTGACAAAACAAAACAGGAAGTGAAAGACAATACATGAATAACAACATGAAACATGACTGACTTAGCACTTTTGACGGTGCACAACAGTACCCCCCCCCCCTCTAGGGCCGACTCCTGATGGCCCAGGCCGATCATTAAAATCCTGGATGAGAGTTTTGTCTACTATGAACTTTGCAGGTACCCAGCACCTTTCCTCGAGACCATAACCTTTCCAATCCACCAGGAATTGCTTGCCCTGACCCCTATTGCGGACCTCCAGCAGCTT